CTGGATTTCATAAAACTGAACCACAATGTGGAAGGGGCGTCAGGGAGCTTAACATCAAAACATCATCCAGGCTCACAGCAGCTAGCCACACACTAATTAGGAAAAAAATCAAAAAAAGACTAGGCCAGAATCAGAGACCACAACAGCTTAAAGAGAACACACACGGACACCAGTAGGAGTTTCTGGGGCCTCCAGGTTCTTTGCCGACATGCGGCAGCAAGGAGTGGGCAAGATGACAGATGGCACCCTGTGGCCAGCGGGTGCGGGTCGGATCCTTCCCATGGCTCCTCCCGCTTGTCCCATGTGATCTGCTCGGGGCTTCCAAGGCTGTGAGGTGCACATGCAGATCCCGTGGCATCGGACCAGCAGAGGAAGCAAGCTGAGCCCTGGCAAGAGGGAAATGACAGCTCCCAATCGTGCTGACCCCCCCCACTGTACGCCGGCCGGCCTGGCACTTAAAACACATTCTTGAAATCCCGAAAACAAATCTCTTTCTATTGTTATAATTGATGCAAACCTATGCGATGTATCAGCCTCATGATGCTGTTTTAGCAATGCGTGTCAATTAAATGACTTCTGATTTTTATTGCTGAATGTTCCTTTTCTAGTACCAAAGACATTACAGAGAAGTTGGAGAAAAACAGGTTACGTGAAGCAATGGGGAACTTCGAGATTCCTGTCTCGTTTCAAGAGCAGGCATGAACGCCCTGCCCTGTTCATGTCTTCAAGGGGCACAGTGTGCACTTAACAGACCGTATTCTTTGAGTTACTTTCTCTATAGCACCTGTCTGTGTGCTGGCATCCAAATTCTGTGTGCTCCACAACACCCTCACTCCCCTAGCGAGACCGGCATCCCAGACCTCCAAGGTGGCGTGCGCAAACTGAGCACCTGACTCTCCCCCTGCCCCAGCGCCACCTTCAGTGCAGGCCACTTCCAGACACCCCACGCTGAGCACAGAAGCACGGTTCAACCTGCTACTTCTCTCTTCCACCCCCACAACCAGTTCATCCATCCCATGGAAAAGCTGTTGTTCCGCAAACAAGCATCAGCACCTACGATGCTCCAGCAGCAAGACCGAGGGCCCGACCTCAGTGACTGCTCCACCCCACCTCTGGCCGGCCGACCATCTGCCTCCGTGGCCGCTTCCCGGGCCGGCGCCTCCAGCACCTTCCATCAGCAAACTGCTGGTGGCTTGCCCCCGATGGCCGCGCCGCCTGCACTCCTGAGCGCCTCGAAGCCGTGCTCTCTGAAGGACCAACCATAAACTTTCACAACCCCACTCTGATCCTGTCGCGCCTTTATCTGAAACCTTCAACGGCTACTTCTCTGGCTGATACTAACATGCACAACCCCGTCAAGGCCGCACAGCCACCCTCCCGCACTGGTCGCCGCCCTGTGGCCACAGCAGAGGCCGAAAGGCCCACAAAGCAGAGAACGCTTGCCATCCGGCCCCTTGCAGGAGAAGCGCGCCGACTGCTGTGTGAGCCGCGGTCCCAGCTCCCTGTCTCCCAGATGCACCTCGGAAGGCCTGCCCCCAGCTCCTGTACTGCAGCCACATGGCTGCGCGTTTGTCCGCTGGCCCTCTTCTCAAGTTCTCTGCTCACCACCCTCTACCCGGTTAACATGTGCACACCCTGCAAGGTGCAGCTTAAGAGGCATTTCCTGAAGAAGGCCTTCACTATCTCCTCTCTCCACGGGCGTTTAGACATTCAATAAATACTCCTGGATAATGACCTCTGATGTCATTCACTCTCTCCTATTTTTGCCTCACCCCTCAAGTGACCAAGCCTATATGTACCGTAAAGATATTCTCGGGGGGAGAAACTATAACGAGAGCCAGGTGCATACTTAGTTTTATTAAATCTATTGTTTAATAAGCTGATGAATTAACCACCTTAGCATTAAATCTGGAATCCTTTTTTTTTAAATATTTTATTTATTTATTTGACAGAGAGAGGCACAGCGAGAGCAGGAACACAAGCAGGGGGAGTGGGAGAGGGAGAAGCAGGCTTCCCGTCGAGCAGGGAGCCCGATGCGGGGCTCGATCCCAGGACCCTGGGACCATGACCTGAGCCGAAGGCAGACGCTTAACGACTGAGCCACCCAGGTACCCCTGGAATCTCTTTTCAAAAAACTTCTTCTGCTTCTAAATTTATAAATACTATACTTTCACTGTGGAAAGTATTTAAAAAGACCAGAAACAAAAACAGTGTGGAAATCCCTGAAATGTTGGCGGGGGTGCCACCTTCCCAGTTTAGAAAAGGAAGGAGCAGGCCTGCCGTGAGACAGGTGAGCCGGGGGGTGAAGACACTGAGCAGGTGCCCCTGTCCTGGGTTCTCTGGCTCTGAGGGGAGGCCTGTGGCAGGTGCCGCGTGGGAAGGTGGCAGGAAGGCGAGCAGGCTGCTCTCAGAAATTAGCTGCAGCCAGTCCGCTGCAGATGTGTCACAGGCACCATGCTCTCCCTCCCAGCTTCGGGCAGTAAGGTTTCTACCTAACTTCCTGTGTTGCTCCTAGTCCCCATGAAGCCCCAACTCTATAACCCTATATCCCAATTAGAAATGCTAACACTGCTATTTTCCAGTTTTATCTACAATTTTTTTTTTTAATGTGTCAGTACAGAAAACACCACCAACAGAAACCTAGAGACTTCAAGGTTAAAAAGTGAAAATTATACTTTATTTTTACACAGCAGGCACTTGGTGTTCTCTCCTGGAATAAACAGCACCCTAACGATGAGCTACTACTACTACTTTCACGTTGAGTTTGTTACTCTATTATTAGTGAAAGAAACAAATACCTCCTCTCCAGACTACTACACAACCGGAAGCTAAGGAAGCTAAATCCTGCATGTTCCCAACTTACGCTAGGCTAACGGAAATCGGTCACGGTGCTACCACGATTTCTTAGCACAAGTCGCAAACACTTCGTAATAGCAAGGATTCCAGAGTCATTTCTGTTTTTATGACGAAGTACCCCCTGCTGACTAGAGGGAGAACACCGTACTCCCCATGCTTCCTTGCGTGAGCGCAGATGCACACAGAAGGCACGGGAGCTCAGAGGGAGTGGCGTCAGCACAGCTGGGAGCGGAAGAGGCGAGCAAGTGCAGGGAACCACCACCAGGACAGAAGCACAGCTGCGTGGCCAGCACCACGGTGGTGCACGAAGGCCAGGTGGGCCAGCTGTCCTCACTGGTCCCGGCCCGAGCACCCCCACACAGAGACCTGCGAACGGGGCCTCAGCTGAGGTCCTACCCTCTAGGCCCACTCACTGCTTTCTCACTCCTTCCCCTGCTCCAGAGTCTACATAAAGGTGGAGGGACCCTTCCTGACGGTGAGAGGGCTCTCCCCACTGCCTGCCATCTGACCCTTAGCAGGAACCATTCCTGGGGGAGGATGGAGGCCTGGGGCCAGTGCCCTCCCCTCTGCCTCTCACCCACAGGCATAGGTAAGTGAACCAAGGCGTGATCGTGACTTGAGCCCACCTCCTTGTCCTAACCACCCACTGACACCTGGCCGCCCGGCAAGAACAGAGGCCAGAGGGGACGGCAGGGGCCCACGTGCAGCCTCACTTTATACATGATGACTTTACGTGTTACAGGAAAGGATCAAAGATGCTTACGTAAATAAGACTGGAATCTTCAGAAAACAGGTTTTTCTGTACTGAGAGCGAGCTTAGCTTTCTAAGCTGGAAAAGATGGAGGTGCTGATAAACAGTGGCCCTGCCATCCCACAGGTTAGTACTTCAAATCCCAAGTAAGATGAATACTGGAAAGAAGATCCATATAAATAAACACATAATAGGAAACACACAGGCTAAAGTTTTCCTGTGTATCTGAGTGTGGCAAGGTAATTTTTCATCCTGTTATTTTTTTTCCCTTAAAAATGAGCATCTGATTCAGTTGGTAAGCAGAGAAAATAGTCCATGTCTAATACCTTCCCATTCACAACTCCCAAAGTTTTGAGTTGTGGGTCCATTAAGTTAGAATAGTCTGGAAATATGGCCCATGAGCATGAGCCTTATCAGGAGTAAGGGACTCTGGACTATGAGCTGGGCTAACAGGTTCTAGACCTACCCTCTGGCCCATCTTGGGTAACCCCATAGAACCTGGCGCTTCAGAAGCAGACTACTGAGTCCACACCCGACAAAGGCTCGCCTCCGCCAGCCGAGTCCACCTGGAATCCCACCTGAGGTCCCAGGTTCCTCCAGTCACCCTACACCACGCCCTTCCTAGACACAGCTTCCTGAAATTCCAGTTCCATCACGTCCCTTTCATTTCTCTATGGAGTCTACAGGATACAGCGCGAACCCCTCGGCCATCAGTCAGGAGTTTCCAGAATCACTTGAGCACCACTTCCCTCACTCCACTCTCCCTCAGCTGTAGCCGGCTTCGTGCCATCCCTGCTCATCCCCAACTACCCACTCTGAGGCTAGCGGGGATGCACTTCGTTCCCGACGCCCTGCAAGTGGGTCTGCGGCACTCAGTACAGAGCGGGCCCATGTGCAGCCCTGGGGAAGGGTGCGACCTCCTAGGCCCCACGGCACACCCACTGGAAGAGAGTGCCTGGACCGGGGAGGCAGCAGGCCACCTGGGTAACAAGTGTGTGGGGACGTGTCCGTGCACTAGCACTTGCAAAGGCGTCCGGTGCCCCGCTCTCACCATGTGCGAGGCCCAGCTCCTGTTTCAGACTAAGGAATCGTTTGCTCCTGTGCCTGTTGTGGCTCAAGTTCTGATGGCCTGCTCCTCAGGAGCACTCCTGGCTCAACATCAAGGTCACACTCTCTAGGGCTCCTGTGTTCAGAGCAGGATGCCGTCCCTCCATTGCCTGGGCCTGAGCACCATGGCCTCTTCTGTGTAACACCACTGACCCCCAAGAGAAACAGAAGCGTAGGCGCACTTCGTCCTCGGGCAGCGAAGGACTCCCACACACTCGGCCGAGTGCTGACTGACTCAAGGTCCAGGAATGAAGCGTGACAACTCACATCACCCACGGTGCCCTACCTTTGCTGCAACGATGCTGAGGCCCATCCCATTTTGCTTTTTAAGAGTCACAGTGATTATTTCGGGTTCTTTCCTCAGAGGCTGAGCCTGAAGGATGAAAACAAAGGTTTATTTTATGGCTGAAATGAAGTGTTTCTACCTTAGACAATCATGTGGTAGTAAACGGCACAGACAACGAGCAAGGATTACAGATACTGCTCATGGAGTAACCCGGGAAAAGGATCAATACTCTCGACTCAAGAGCCTCGAAGATGAAACTAGTCATAAGTGCTATTTAAGCGTTAAAGAACTTAATTTAGAAAGCAAAACTACACTTCCATTACTACAGATTAGAAAAACCCAATCATAGAAATGAAATTAAATTGTTACTTTATTACCTTTCAAAATAAATTACTAGGTGTTTTTTAAAGAAAAAATGTAAACTTATTTCCCACCATCTATGGGGAGGTCAGCAAAAGAGTTGTAACAAAGATGATCACACATCTGTCTCTTGGGAGAATGCAGGTGCCATATGAAGTCAGGCCACCCCATGATGCGGGCACCACCGTTCCAAGTACTTTGGGTAATAAAGTCACGGCTCAGGGGTGGAGGTCAGTTCTCAAACTGACCCCTAAGCAAATGAGGAACTGCCCACTGAGGCTACATGTTAGACACATGTCACACCTCACCCGAAGAATAAACAAAATTACAAAGAAAAATTACCAGTGCATACACACTAAGGGATAATTTAATCAAATACGTAAGTACGAAGGCACATCACCAACAAGTGGTAATTATACATGTGGGTTGTTAAGTTAGAACCAAGGTCAGTGAGAGAACACTTTAAGGAAAATAAGCAAGATTAGGTGACATTACAATTTTTTTTCTTTTAGATTAAGACTTGAGAGCTCCCGAGGGATCTCTGACTACACTAGGAAGATGAAGGCAGCGTGATTCCATCTACGGAGGGAGTTGCTGTTCTATAAAATCTGGGAGTTGGGAACTGCTATCACTCAGCATGCGGCAAAAGGCTCGCGAGGCCGAGAGACAGCGTGAGAGGCGCACTGTTGGTGTGTCAGTGGCTGTGCACCACCAGCTCTCTGACGGGGCAGAGCTCCCATCCGCTAACTCAGCTGCTGGAGAGGGCAGGACACACACTCCAGTCTAAAGCAGGCTACTCAGTCATCACAAATGATTACTTGGAATTTGATATACAAAACACACATTATATGCTTTACTTTAAGTATTGCCACCTTACACAAGCTATGTTTTCTTAGAAATTAGGTACATAATAGGCACAGAGTTTTGACTGACTACTGGTTAATATTTTAGAGTAGTACAAGGAAGTCTCTGAAGCTTCAGAAGGTATCTGGCTGTTTTCACACACCAGAATCTCTAAATCTTGGCGGGTCAGGTGTGCTGGACAATTCCATGCCTTCTGAGAATCGGTGGACAGGTGAATAAATGGCCACATGCAATCAATCACACATAACACATTGACCCTGACCCATAGGAACCTCGACAAAAGTACAGTCACATCAGTTTGCTCCTTCAAACCCTTAAGTGGCTTAAAGATGAAAATGGCAATTATAGAAAAATATTTAAATGAAACTCAGTAACAAAGTTCAAAAAGGAAAAATTTCATCTGTTTCTATTAATCAGAGATATGGCAGTCTATGTCGTACAGGACAACTGTGTCTGCTGTCACGTTCTAGCGCACAGGGAAACATTCCCTGTTGTTTAAAACTCTCTGTAGGAGGCAAAGCAGAATTTTCCATAAAATGTATGAAACTAGCAAATACTAGGGTTGACTCTCTTTCAGAAGATGCAAAATATCAGCAAGTAATTTTGATATGTATTTAAAACAAGGTAGAACCAACTATAAGGAGAAAATATTTCTACCAGAGAAAAACTTTTTTTTTTTTAATTTTTATTTGAGAGAGAGAGCGCAGGGGGAGGGGTGGAGGGAGAAGGAGAAGCAGACTCCCCACTGAGCAGGGAGCGCAATGTGGGACTCAATCCCAGGACCCAGAGATCACAAGGTAGGGAGCCGCTTAACCAACTGAGCCACCCAGGCACCCCTAGAAAAACATTTTCTAATAAAATTCGTAAGGTTATCGTATTAATATTTTTTAAAAACTATGTATTGACATTAAGGAGGCTGGTATAGCTGTGGGTAGAAATATTCTTTATTTTAAAAAATACCATTTGTTTACGGACAAAAGTGGACAGACACGGCCTGGAAAAAATATACATTAGTCATGGTTTCAGGTTTTTTAAAAATAAAATTGGTACTTAAAAGGTGATTTTAAAATATTTTTATCACAATGCTCGCTATAATCAAGAAAGGAGTTTACGTCACATTTTCCAAACTGTAAGGAATACAGGTTAGTCTGTACTCCGCCTGTCACCCTCACAACACTTACCAGCTCCGTGTTTTCACGCAGAAGGTGGCTCTCATAATCTGCACCCTCAAAAAATATCGTCCAGGTACCTGGTGAGCGTGCGTGAGGGATTAACCTGCAAAATCCTGAGGAGGAAACAAGCAAATTATAAAACTGAAAAGCACAGCCATGTCAGCCACATAATCTTCAAGAAGGGAAGCAGCATCACGTGTCAATTGCTTAATATCTAAAGATGACATTTATTTTTCCTACTCTACATACATTTATTCCCTCTCAAAACTGAACTATCACATTTAAAATCATTGTTTTCATCCAACGGAATTCAACACCAGGCTGAAAAGTGAAATTGGTTCCCTCCCCCTTTTTTTTTAAAGCACTTTCTCCTTACTTCTGAGAAATCACTGAATTGCACGGTAACTCCTTCCTTGCTGACCAAGCACTCAACAATACCCAGAATGCCTTGCACAGCAGAGACCAGAACCACCACGAGGACACATGCCTGCCCACAATGTCACATTGGGCTCTACGGTTTTCAGGCAGGACTCTGACCTGTAGGATGGACCCCTTCTCATGACTCTGTCCAAATTTCCTTACTAGTCACTTAAATTTCTTACAAATAAACTGCAGAATCACTTTATGTTTTTTAAAGAGTATCTATGACATTCCCTTCATGAAGAAATGACATCTGTACAAAACTAAGCCTTTTGATTCATAACATGTCACTCTTCATTTTGTCACATCTTTTTTTTTTTTTTAAGATTTTATTTATTTATTAGAGAGAGAGAATGAGAGATAGAGAGCACGAGAGGGAAGAGGGTCAGAGGGAGAAGCAGACTCCCCGCCGAGCAGGGAGCCCGATGCGGGACTCGATCCCGGGGCTCCAGGATCATGACCTGAGCCGAAGGCAGTCGCTTAACCAACTGAGCCACCCAGGCGCCCCATTTTGTCACATCTTATTCTATGTTTCTCGGGAATTTCTTGACAAAGTCGTATCACATAGGCCTTGCACAATTCTTAAATGTTCTCCAAAGCAGTCTGGTCTCACTAATACTAGCAGCCAAACGATCACGCGGAGCACAGCACGTGCCCGATGTCACAGTGACTGCTCTCGCCAGCACACAGAGCCTCAGCCAGTCCTCAGAACTGGCACTGGGCACCACTCCCCCACTCTAGGGTTCCACTAGTGAGGGGAGGCTGCCCGTTATTTTTGGGCACCTATGAGGTTTTTTGCCGTAAGGGGAAAAGGAGATGTCACAAGAGAACACAGTTAAAGATATAAACTTAGAGTCTTTTTTTTTTAAATCACTGTTTCAATCCATTTTCATTAAAATATAACCTACAACTTCTCTTTCCCCTGTTTGAGAGCACTGTGATTATCACGATTTTGAAATGAACAACTTTTATTATTTTCTTATTTTTTTCAAATGCCAAGGCTGGCTCACACATTAGACAGACATTTTCTGCTCTCTCAGGTGAAGGAATGCATCTCGGATCAGGTATGAGTCCGTGCTGGTTTTACAGCCTTCTCTCACGTGACTGTTATAGGACAAACAAAAGGAGTATAAACTGAGAACACATAGTACTTCTTTATTTGGCTTACAAAGAACTGAGCATGAAGAATTAAAAACACTGATGTCATACAAGAAAACACCCAGTTCTTTGTAAGTCTTGTAAAGGCACCTCTGTAATAGGCTGTGTTGCCATCTGACACACATGGAATAACCTGGGGACGCCAAGACCATGATGAAATAGCACATACGTTCTGAAATCAGTCATTCAGGGGAGCCTCAGGGGAAGTCCCGGAGTAAACTTCACCACCAAGGCAAGAGCTCACTCTTCCCAACTTGGCCAGTCTCTCCTTGACGCCACACATTACAAAACCAGCAGCTGTGTGCACACCGCTAATCACACGTACAGCTCTGAAAAATGCTAGTAAGTTAGTCTTCCCGTGCGTGCCTTCACAAGGACTCGGTGCTGAGCACTCGACACCCAGCGGCCCCACGTTAGGTGCTGAGGGGTAGGGGGAGCCCGCCCCCCTGGACTGCAGGTGCTGAGGAGTAGGGGGAGCCCGCCCCCCAGGACTGCAGGCGCTGAGGAGTAGGGGGAGCCCGCCCCCCTGGACTGCAGGTGCTGAGGAGTAGGGGGAGCCCGCCCCCCAGACTGCAGGTGCTGAGGAGTAGGGGGAGCCCGCCCCCCAGGACTGCAGGTGCTGAGGAGTGGGGGGAGCCCGCCCCCCAGAATGCAGGTGCTGAGGGGTAGGGGGAGCCTGCCCCCCTGGACTACAGGTGCTGAGGGGTAGGGGGAGCCCGCCCCCCAGGACTACAGGTGCTGAGGAGTAGGGGGAGCCCGCCCCCCCGGACTGCAGGCGCTGAGGAGTAGGGGGAGCCCGCCCCCCTGGACTGCAGGCGCTGAGGAGTAGGGGGAGCCCGCCCCCCAGGACTGCAGGTGCTGAGGGGTAGGGGGAGCCCGCCCCCCCGGACTGCAGGCGCTGAGGGGTAGGGGGAGCCCGCCCCCCAGGACTGCAGGCGCTGAGGAGTAGGGGGAGCCCGCCCCCCAGGACTGCAGCTTGACCTCAGAGACAGACGGATACACGTGCTTCAGGTGCTGTCACAGAAACATCCCGAAAGAACACAGAATCACTTGTGGGGAAAGTGGCTGAAGCGTCAGGAGGAGGCCGAGGTTTTCTAGACAAAGGGCTACCTGGCACGAGTGCGAGTGAAGCAGTGGGCACGAGCGGGGGGTGGGGGGTGAGGGGGGCAAAGGCCCGCGGGGCCGCGCAGTGGCAGTTAGTATAAACGACAAGGCTGGGAGTGGAGGCTGCACGCTCGGATCCTGGGGCTGAAGGGGCAAGGCTGGGGGCAGGAGAGCCAGCAGTGACGAGCCACCAAGCACCTGATGGCCGCGCAGGGTCAGGGCAGGGAGAGCGGTCCGGGAAGCAGCCTGCCAGAACACTGCCGCTGTAACCCACACGTGGGTGCGTGGGTGCTGGGGACACACAGCTGACGGGCATGGCCCCGCAGGTGTGACACACGGTGGTGCCCACATGGCAGCGAATACCCCTGGGCTCGGCACACCGAAGCCACACGCCGGTGCCACAGACCAACGCAGGCCCCCTCTGCGGGGATGGAGGATTCCCCCGACAGCAGCCCTGACCCGGGGGCTCCCAATGCCCGACTGAAGCTTTCGTGGACATCACTGCAGCCCACACCTCCGTCCCCCCTGCTGGTCCCAGACAGGAGCCCGGCTTCCTGTCCCGGCCCGTCTCCATTACACAAGGCTCCCTGAAGACGCACACGCCTCAGCTCTGCTGCTCGGAGGATAGTGCTGAGAGGAGACAGGGTCCGCGTTCCCGGCATGGCTATAGCCACATTTGCTGGTGGATGAACTAACACACTACCCTTCTGTTACAGAAAGCTTTGGAAAATGGAAATTTTAAACTATCAAAATCTTTAAAGACATAAAAATCTACTGCAGCATGTGAAAGTCACTGAAATGAAAAATCACACTCACCACACTTATGTAGATGAACATAAAACCTTAACTTTGCTATTATTTTTGTTTAAACTCCTGAATTTTGAATTTCTTCTTTTATTCATCTGAGCTCCACGTTACAAAACACAGCAGACTGGGACTGAATTGTGGTCTAATGTAAAAGTCTGTGCTTCAGGTGTAAGTGTGGTATTTGGGGGGTAAGGAGCAGAGGGAGAACAGATGTCAAGCACACTCCCCGCGGAGCAGGGAGCCCGATACAGGGCTCGATCCCAGGACCCTGGCACCATGACCTGAGCCGAAACCAAGAGTCGGCCACTTTAACCGACTAAGCCACCAGGCACCCCCTAAGTGTGGTATTTGTATCAGCCCAGTCCAACAAGAGGATGTGAACAGGTGGTAGGATGAGACCAGGGGGTTCTCTGCCCTCACACAGGACCAGCTGGAGTCTGGCTCACGCACACACGGCAGGTGCCCCGGGTCTAAGCGCCCCATGGGCAGCTGGCCCAGTCCTCACATCCTGAGTCCCCGCTGTCCACATGCCCATCTTATAGATGGAAGTCACAGGAGACAGAGCTGGGGTCCGAGCTGGGAGGGTCTGACTGCAGCACTTGTGCTGCCCCCCAACTCTGTTGGTAGCAACACAACGGACAATTCAGTTCCAGGGGTGAGCCAAGCTCCCGGGCTCCCAAAAAAACGGAGGGAGGAGCAACAAAAGGTCCTCCTTCCTAGCAGGCCCAGCAGAAAGGTGGCGGTGGCAGCTGGTGAGCATAGCCAGTGCCCGCGGGAGGGTCACAGTACCCCCCAGGGCTTCATGGCAGGACACTGCTGACCCCTCATCACCGAGAATCGCTTACTTCCGCGTCCTGGAACACAGCTTTCTCCAGGAGCATATGGTGTGTGCTCCACACGTGTGGACTGCCACACACACACAGACACACATACACAAACTGATACAAGGCTCAGGTCATAGTTCAGATGCCAGGTACAGTAGGCGAGACTCACCTCTCTGGCACAAAGGGTCTAAAAACTCTTGTAAACCATTTGGAATGTTCCTGACAACATCGCAAGAGTAGCCGTCTTCTGGCAAAAGAAAAGGCAACTGCAGATCGGGGTCCTCTTCAAGCTGCACCTCCCTCCCGTCACTGCGCGCCAACTCATCAGCCGTGTTCTCAGCCACGGCCACCACGTTTTCGATCAGGTCCTGGTCAGAACACAGATGCACAGTGAGAACGGCACACCAATGGACTGGCACTCAGATCTCCTCGTGCGCAGTGTGGCCACATACACGCAGGCAGGCTGCGAGCGAGAACAGATTTCTCAGTGTGTTAACGTCACTTTGCAGAGCAACGTATCACCTGCGAAGTACACACTTCAAACATATGAACCAAGATAGTCATAATTAATCTCAAGTCATCTGCAGCCTTAAAAAGAAATTATTCAATCACAAGAAAATGGTTTCCCTTTTCAAAAGTAATCATTTTTTCCCTGCAATTTTTTAACATCCAGGTGCTAATAATCCTATTTTTGTAGAATTTTTAATGACAGAAAAAACTCACAGTGGAAAATGTAAAAACTTGGGACAAAAATATCTATTCCCAGCTAACAGGAAAGCTCACACACCTTCACTGTAAAGCTCGAGGAAGTGAACACAGCACCTCAACTGGCCCCAGTTCAAGGGACAGAGAAGCAGCCCCTCGTCACCGTCTCCCTCCCTGGGTCAGCTTCCTGGGCTTCTCCCGCCACAGATCCCACCTGTGTGCTCGTGAAACCCGTACAGACAGAAGCGTGCTCTATTTACTTCTGACTTCTGTGCACACGGCACAGTGCATGTCATCTGCTGTGCAAATTCACACCTCGGCGCCGTGCTCCTTAACGTGACAGTGACAAGACCTTCTATACGCTGTTTTGTCAGTGGGCGTTTGCTGGTTTCTGATCCTGGGCTACTCCATACACGTCTTTTGTTGGCACCAAGTCAGGACTAGAGGTCAACCCATCCACCTCATGCACTTCCCTCATCAGGACTCCTGCCTCGAGCGGACTTTATCCATGGGTGGCGACAAGCACTTGCAGCCTTTCTCACTCTATACACAGCAGCTGTAGCACACGCCGTGAACTAGGCCGCTCACCCTCCACTCCTCTCGAGAGGCATGATGCCAAACCTCGATTCCCACCAGTCTGCTGCACCTGCCCAGGTCGGGAGGCCCCCGGCCGCACTGCTTGCTGTTGGTGGCACACGAGGATGAGCAGTGGATATGAGGGGGCACTCTGTGCCCGCAGCACATGGATGCCTATGGCCGTGGCAGGAGCTCTTGGGCCTCTGAGCCTCAGGTCCCAGGGGTGAGCCTGGGAACCAGGGCAAATTAACTTCCTCTCCCCCAGTCCTTCCAATGACTTCCCAAGAACCTAATTCCCTGAATTAAATCCTCTTCTACTTAAAATGCTTGTGTATTTTCTTGTACCGAGTCCAAACTCAAATATCAACAAGAAAAATGATCTTATGAGATGATTAAGTAAAGTAGCTTATTTATTAAAGAAATAAAGTAATTATAAACGTCGATTCTCCCCCACTTTTTTGAACTGAAAATTTCCCTATGCAAACATGTCTCATGCTGTGTGGCTAACGTGTGCCACTCACCGTGGGGATAAAAGGCTCATCGGGTGCACAGTGGTAATTCTGTAACAAGGCTTGAAGTTGCAGTGAATTTAACTTAAAGCAGGTACTGTTTATATTTGGAATGTCATCAGGCGCATATTTATCCATTGTAAGCAAAGTGGTTGCCTGTTCAAAAGAATAACAGGAGATATGATTCAAAAGTATTTCATAAATATTCCCTTTATGTAACATTTAAAACTGTAATAACTTGCTAATTTGATTTTGAAATGCAGAATGTTTTTTAGGGAAACACACTTCTATTAACATTGAACTGAAAAAGCATTGTCTAGTGAAGGTTTTTAGACAGTTTCTTAATTTTACTAAAATATACACATTTATATTTTACTAAAATATAAAAATGTAAATGAGATTCATTTATGTCCATAAATCATTTTTAAAAATTCTTTTAGAAACTGTAAACATTTACATCATAACCACTCAGATTACCAATTACCGGAGTCTGAATAAAGTTTCATTGTAATGACTTTTTTATAGCCAGTGGAGGAGAATAGTAGCCTCTTTCTATACTAAATTACTTTAAAAGAAATTAAGAAATTGAGAAAAAAGGGGCGCCTGGGTGGCTCAGTTGGTTAAGCGACTGCCTTCGGCTCAGGTCATGATCCTGGAGTCCCGGGATCGAGTCCCACAGCAGGCTCCCTGCTTGGCAGGGAGTCTGCTTCTCCCTCTGACCCTCTTCCCTCTCGTGCTCTCTGTCTCTAATTCTCTCTCTCTCAAATAAATAAATAAAATCTTTAAAAGAAAAAAAAGAAATTGAGGAAAAAATGCAAAATTATACACTGTAGTAATAAAAAAAAAATCTGTCCTAGGTTTTGAGGCTGCAGATGTTATTTCTTTGACTGTGAAACCCCCGTGTCCAGTGTGGGCTATGTAGGGGCTCCCTGAGAACTGGCCGAGGCCTTAGCACATAGCTGAGTGCTCCTCCGTCCCCTTCTCAAGTCTCCTGCTCTGGTCCTTTGGGTTGTGAGGACTGCCGAGTGCTATGCTTAGACCCCTTCCTCTTTCTCTGCTGTGCATCCACTACGGGTTTTTGCTTTGTGGTCACTTGGCTCCGTATGCTAAAGACTAAAGCGTTACCCAGTTTTAAACTGTAATCCATCCATTCAGTATGCAGCTTCACAAAATACACCTACTAGTCTCAGAAAAGAACCCTTTAAGGGCACTTACTCTACTTCTTACCACCTGCTACGGGCTGATCCGTGTCCCCTAAAATTCATACACAGAAGTCCTAACCCCGTGTACCACGGAACGCGACCTTACTTGGAGAAAGGGTCTTGACAGAAGTGAGCGAGGACAGCAGGTCTAACATGACTTGTGTCTGTATAAATAGTGGATGTGTGGAGACACACATACCCACGGGGAGAACACCTGTGAAAATGAAGGCGGAGAACCACCCAGCCCACACCGTGACCTTGGACCTCCTGCCTCCTGGACTAGGAGACAACTGTTTGTCATTGATGCACTGAGCTTGTGGAAGTCTGTCACAGCGGCCCAGGCAAACCAACACGCCAGTGTTTCTTTAGCTGTGCACATGCAACACCCCAGGGGGGTACTGAATTGCCTGAATCCGAGTTCTGACCCCGGACGGAAGGAGAGCCGCCGACGATGAAGTCCAGGGACGGCGCGGAGGTGAGACTCGGGAAGCCCACCTGCACTATCCGGCTGAGGTGGCAATCGGCTGCCAGCTCCAAGCCCTGCTTCTCTGCCCACGCTTCCACGTGTCCCAGCTGCTGGCGGATAATCGCCCCCCAGTAGTGAGAGCACAGTCCCGACTCGGGGTCGGTCACCAATCTGTTGAAGAGCCACATGTTGATGAAGTGGAAGAGCTGGGAGAAGAGCTGGATGGTCAGGGCAGCATTGACTCGGCAGCGTCGCAGCAAAGACATGGCTCCCGTGAGTGTGTGCAGAACGTCATCTGTTCAGAGATGCGGGACGAAAGCAAGAGTCTTTTGAACGAACGGTGAATTCAGAAAATGGCAGTTATGGTAAGAATGCCTACCGGGTCGCTTTTGAGACACTGGTCTCTTCAGACAGGAGATGACAGTGAGGGTGAAACCACATACGGCCATTAACTACGCACACTGCAGCTCCCCCTAAGACACCTTTGGAAAAAGCACGACACACCAACCCAGAGCTGTTCTTGAAACAGAACAGACAGCAGTTACGATTTACTGAAGAATACCAAAGCCAATAGGTTATCTCATTTATTTTGAAAATACCTCCTTCTAATGCATATGAAATATTAAAATGAAGTTAAACAGAAGGAGGGAAGAAGGAAAGCCCAGAGAGAAAGAGAGAGAGAGCGAGGAGAGACAGGGAGGGAGGAGAAAAAGGGCATCCTAACCTATTTTTGGTCTTTGTAGGCTGTTCTCTTCAGGATCATCCAGAAAGGCTGGCATATAATTATTCAGTTCTGATTGAAGACAATGAACCAGATATCTGAAAAAACGTAGGCAATTTTAATAACCTCAGCAGGACACACTGCTATTGTCAGACATGACATCCACAAATGAAACAGTTTATACTGTTTAGAAATATTTTCCATTTACAATAGTTTTACTCTCAGGATTCCTGAAACACAGCTAATAAATTCAATTTCTTAAATCAACACATTTGGCACATAGTTATTCATGCTTCTTGCTATTCATCTTTAATTAGGGTAAATAAAAACCTTTAAAAAAAACCTCTACAGAATAGTGCAATCTCCAAAAACGTGCTCCTTACTTAAACGCCATTTGAACCAAGTGTGCTAAGACGTCTTGGGCGTCCAATGTGATTCGACTAAGATCTCGGTCCTGTTTAATGAAGTTGAGCAGCTCAGATGCATTGGCCATCCAGAAGGCAAGTGCCCCTGCAATATTCTTCTGTTTCTGTAGACAGAACACATTTCCATAAGCGACCCAAAGACAAACAAAAAGAAAGAAAAAAAAAAAAAAAAGGAATGCTCTTGAAAAGCTGCTGGAGATAGACCAGTACCTTCCCATTGTCACCAAGGTATTTACCACAGATACCAGATATTTGCAAAGGAATTTGGATACGTTCACAGCAATGGAACTGCGACATCTTAGAGGATTCATGGTCAGACACATGGATCCAGTTAGCTACCATGTATGGAATCAGTGCCGAAAACAGAGATGTCAAACCCTACGACACCCAATCGGAGATTGTGCATTATCTGGTAATCTGTGAAGTACACACGCATCTATCCATGGTTACCCACAACCACCCTGATACGCGCAGTCACTGGCTCGGATGCCGAGCAACTCGGTATCAAGTACTGATCTATCACATCATCTCCCGACCACATGTGCAGGCCAGGCAACTTCAGATGAGATCCAAAGAATAGGAACCAAGGATAAACAAGAAAGAGGAGAAACAGAACTTTTGTCATTTCATATCCACACTGAAGTGCATTAAGCAGAAATTATGAAATGCTGATAAAGGTTGCACAGTCAAAAAGGGATTTAGTACTGCATGTTTCAGTTGCTGAATGAGTGTTATGAACCGTCCAGTCCGGTTGCTGGAGCATTGTGTTTGACATGGAAGCAGCGCGAGAAACTCAGCTAAGCCGACATAGCCAGGACCAGTTCCCAGCAGCACGTCCTACCTGATCAACCTGGTCTACTTCCTGGAGAAAAACAGACGAAGGGAAATCAAGCAGAACGAGAGAAAGAAACTTGTAAACAATCATGATAGTTTAAAAAAATCAAAACACTAACATGAAGGTACGACATGAAGGTACGACATTTAGTTATGTTATTCCCAAATTACATATTCATTCCTGGCTCTGAAGCAGCTTTGGAAGTACATGACATAAAGGATTAGTTCTATGTTCTTAACACTGGTACAGTAAGGGAGGGAATTCCCAGAATTTATATAAAGGAATGTGACAATTAACACAGGAACACACTGATCTCTTTAAAAGATTTATAAATGAAGGACTTAACGTCTTTTAATGATACCGTGTGTCTGACTACTTAAAGCTATGTAAGATGAGTGTCTATCCTCTGGTGTAATAGGATGAAAGAGACAGAAAAGACCAACAGAAACAACAAAAATAAAAGTTAAAAATTTTTTAATGTATAAAAAACATAACTATACTAAAATGGAGTAAATCGGTTTTTGAAAGTAGATTTTTACAAATTGTTGATTTATTCATTACTACAATTCTTTCCTAAAACTTTAAGATTCCTCCAATCACATACTAACCCTAAATGTGTTTTAAAAGACCTGTTGTGATAATGATGATCTCACTGACTAGTTCAAATTCAATCAGAAAAAGTCTATTGGCAGTAGTCTGATGACAGGAATTTCACAATCTGAAACAGGCTTTAGAAATGCAAACATGAGGGAAGACAGACAATGGCTCTGAACTAAAAGGAAATCTGTTTCTTTAGAAATTAGTAAGAGAGGAACACAAAAATGGAATCCAAATAAAATGACAATCCTTTTTAGCTGTTTCCTCACTTGGGTAAAAGAATTGTAAGCCCATTAGATTCACAGGCTAACCCCTCAAACAAAAGAAACAGTTCTTGAAAAATTTGGCCTTTTTAAAACAATTCTGAAGGAATCAACAGATTAGTTTGCTCAAACTACCCTCACAGGAGGAAAACAACCAAACCATCTAATCATGTTGCTTCATAATATGTAACTAGAGTTTTATATTTTGTGGCTGAATAACAGCACTGATAAGTGGTTTGGAAAAACTTAAAATCTTTACATTTACTTTTAAGGACTTAAGATTAAATCTTCAAATTATCCGTGAGTTTAGAAAACTGCTATGCCAATTTTACGAACTACAGATGAAGAGTACTTAAAAAGAAACAAACCATACTACAAAAAGAATGCTCTTAGTTCCTTAAGCTTTCCACAGTTTTATGAAAGATTTTCATTTCATCATCACTGAGAAATGTCGTGATGTCCATCACACCTAAATGAATGCTAGCAAAAATCCACATAATTACCACCAACATCATACACTCATACTAGAAAAGAGCATATGCCTTTATAACCATGAGAAGATTCTAAGAAGGTGGGTGCCAGGGACTGGTGGAGGGGTTATGAGGACAAACTGCTTCATGGGCACAGGTTTTACTTTAAAGTGATGGGAATGTTCCGGAACCACAAGTGGTTGCTGCACAACACCGTGAATGTACGAAATGCTATTGAATGAGTCACTTTAAAATGGTTAATTTTACGTTAATGTGAAATTCACCTCAACATATTATTGTTTTTAATTCTAAAAAATCCCCAAGTCTCGATACGTTCTCACAACCACTACCATTTTGAGGATCTTTACCATGATCATTATGTTCCCACATTCAGATTACCTTCCCGTATTCTAACATTTGTAGGAAGAAACAGAAAACAAGTTTACATTTCTTTTCAACTTTTAAAGCTATACCATTGTCCGTGCTATTTATAGAACTTGCATTTCAGAAAAGACTGTGGAGGTAAAGTCAAACATATGACCAGGCGGGAACACGAAAGCCACTGGCTTCCTGGTATAAAACAAGGGGCACACTTACTGAACTGGCTCTGCAGGCTGAGGCTTACCTGGATCACCCCCTCCATCATGCTCACCATCTTGTTGACTATTGCAATCACTTTGTGAGTACGTTCTGTAGGACTGACATCCGGTCTGTACTGGCTGGACAATACATACCGACATGCCATATATAATACATATGTAGGTGACAACTTAAAATGGACTGTAGAGCTATTAGTATAATTTATAATGGCAGATAAAAATGAATCTTCAGCTGTGAAAAGATTTCAAAAAAGAAGAAAAAGAAAAAAAAAGAACAAAAAAAAAACCCATGAAAATCAGATGGAGGAAAATGGAACAAGAAATAATTCACTAACAATGGAATCTGAAATTACTCACAACTTTCCCTGAATTCAATGCTTGCAGGCAATATCAGTTCAGGCCCAGGAGCATCCTGAGTTCTGAAAGAAGAGAGTGGCCATCTCTTAAAATCAGGTCATGTGGCTAATAACATCACTAACAATCTATGCATATTTTGGCAACTGTTTTTACAGTCTCCATATGGTTCTTACAAATAATACACAGCCCAATGACTCATGTTCACATGGAAACTATTCAAATATTCAGAGGAGCGCACTGAGCGCGACCATATCCACACTCCTAAGAGGTCAGTTCCCTGAAGTATCTGCTTCCTTCCTGAGAACTGATCTGACTGTGATTCTCTATTATTCATGAGGATTCCGTGCAGAGTAGGGTGACCAGGCTGTCACGCACCTGCTGTGGCGATGGCTCGAATCACGATGAAAAGCTACCGCTAGGAGACACAGAAAAACTAAACCACCGTGAGCCTGAAACAGCTCTTACACATGAAGAACAAGTTGCTAAGAGCCAGACACTGCCCTTGGCTTCTGATAAAGCTCAGAGAAGATAATCCCTGCAGGCCCCTTCAGTCACTCTGTATCACCATTTCTCCATGCTCACAGGGAAGCCCGCCTTCAGAAGAAGTAATCCTACTCACACTTTCCCTTAAAGTCACATCAATTCCAGACACCTTTCATCATTTAGCCGGACACTACAAAAACAAGGCACTGCCAAGAAATATAAACCAAGAGCAACTAGGATTCGGAACACTTCAAAGAATTAGCACTGTCCTAATGTTTATGTATTTCCAGGTATTCTGGGTTAAAGTACCTCAAAGGTTAGGTATATTTCTAGTTCGATAAAAAAGTTCTCCAAATAGTGGATCACCCTGCCCCCACCACTGGTAGGGTGGAAGGTTCACTGTTCTGTGAAATTCTTCATTCAGTTGTAAATATACACATGTGTAGGTATGTGTCCCTTGCGACACAATATACAACAGGATTCTGTGTTGTGTACTGTGGTCAAACAACATCTGAAAGCCATTAGTAAGCACAGAATTTCTAAAATGTGTAAAATAATTACAAATCCAATTGAGATTTCCTTACCTTAGATTTATAGTGCTCTCGATGGATGGTGTTCAGTTTAACTACTCTTTCATGTAGACATGTGGTTAGAATTTCAAGCAATTTAATCATTACTCTAAGCTAGTTGGCTACTAGCTGTATTTTATGTATAACATTTGTAAGTCACCTCCCACCCCAAACAAACTGGCAAATAATTAGATTCCTAAAGAGTTTAAATCTTTACCATTTAGCTCAGCTTTTACAGATGACCAGGAAAAATTTTACAAAATTTGTCTTCGAATAGATTAAGAAAATTAAAATTGACAGCAAAAGCAAAGAAACATGTGCTGTGCCTTCCCACAAACTTAACTGGAAAGTGAAGAGTGGGCTACAGTGACTTACGCTGGGATGGAAGACCTACTGAGGTAAACATGGGCTCAGACAAACTGAGCTCAGGGCTCAAACAGAGCTTCACATCTGCTGGAAGGGCGAGTCAGCAGCCTTATCGGTGCCTACGGATTTGTGAGTTAAATGATGGTCATTGTCAGCAGCAACACTGAAGTCTACCAGCCCCGGATAAACGGTGACGAACCCGCCCAAGTTCAGGGTTTGGAGTCACTGCTGTGACCACTCAGTCACTACATGGGCTCCTGTGACAACTTCTTTAAGAAAGGAGAAGAGAAGGAGAAGAGCCCATGATGGCCCCAGACTAAAGTCACTCGTCCCCAGAGGGAGGCTCCCGTCCCGCCACCCCACCTCCCCCAACACTGAAGGAGCAACAAAGAGAAACACAGCGAGTTACCTCAAACTGTTTTAATTGTGAGAAGGAAAAACAAAAGTCTTTCCATCAAATTATATGCTTCACAGTTTTTTATCCTATGATTGAACAATTTGGATTCAACTGAACAATTCAGGTGTAAAAAGGCTCTTATAAACAATAGAATTTAAATGTCCAATTATGTTTACATGTCTCTTAACTCCTATATTTATAGGCATCTAAAATTGCAGATAAGCAGTTACTTTCAATTTACTATCTACACAATAAACTGGATGAACCTTACCAATTGTTTCATCAATTTAACACATCTGGTAAAAATAAGGAATTTAATAACTCACCAAAAAAAAAAAAATGTGTCAGTGAGAACTTAAGGCACTCCATTATTCAAAAAGATTTTTTTCCTTGACTAACATCAGTATTTTATTTTATTTTTTAAGATTGTATTTATTTATTTGGCAGAGAGGGAACACAAGCAGGGGGAGTGGAAGGAAGAGGGAGAAGCAGGCTTCCAGCCGATCAGGGAGCCCAACGTGGGGGCTCCATCCCAGGACCCTGGGATCGTGACCTGAGCTGAAGGCAGATGCTCAATGACTGAGCCCCTCAGGCACTCCTAACATCAGTATTTTAAACATATCTATTAAAACAACTTAGATTTTTATGAATATACCAATTAAGTGAAGCATTGCTTATACCCACATTGTATATGTGAAAAACAAAGACTGAAAATAGAAGAATCACCTGTTTCCATCACTGCTGTAGTATCAACAAAATAGTACATACCTACAGTTCCAATAAAACCTTTAGTAAAATCTTTGCTCACAGGATAAAATCAATTCTAACATACAGTGAACCATCAGATGGCTATCCGACACTGTACTAACCTACTATATTTACTTACCAACTATATATATAGTTTACACACACACACACATTAATTTTGCATGTCCTAAAAGAATTATCCTAATTGCTCTTTCCTCTCCCCCATTTGATTTATTCACTCATTCAAATATTTATGGGCTAAGAACTATGATACATTGCTCTCAATCACCTTATAAATAAATAGAGGCATTCCTTACGAAGCTCGTTTACCATTTGGAATATCTTATTCTAGAATACACCACCGAAAACAAGTACAGACACAGGAAGTAGACTTATTATTACATCTAAAAAAATTCACAAAGCCAACAAAAATCTTGAATAATAACCCAAAGTGCAGGATAAAAACAAGGGAAAAACCTGAGATTCCCATATCAATCTACAAATTCAATTACTGTGATAAATGATATTAAAAACTTGTAACAGACAGCGCCCTCTACTGGAAGATGGAAAATTAAAGAACTACATCAGCTGCCTGTCACCAAATTGATACATGACCTTGGGCCAGTCACCTGCCTCAGTTACCAGATCTGAGAGAGAACAGTTAGAATGGCTTCATCAAAAATCTGAATAGCACAAAAAGAAGGACACCCCCAGTTCCACTACTGATAATGAGAGTACATGATACGGTACTCCTGAGTTATTATTGCCCGATTGCTGTCTCTGTGTGTTTAGAAACCTGCTGGAGAAGTACTCGAACCATATCACGCTGCTGCTGAAGCTCATCAGCATTTGGAACTCATCACCTGTTATTTCAATGTGTCAGGCACTGACATCACTTTTCAACATTTAAACAATGTTAAAAAATCACAAGGAAGTAGAATTCTAATTAAGGTAACATGTACTTAAAAATCGTTAAGAAAAGGAAATAACAAAAGGCAGAAGTTCTCTGTTCAAAAACACTAGGCAGGAACAATGGCAGGAGAAACATATTTATCCCTACCCTTCTCAACAGAACATAAGACACAGTAATGTGGCACTCAATAAATCCTAAAAACTCCATGTGAAGTCATGTTTGGCTTCATGTATTTAAACATGGAAGGATTTTGTATACGGATGGGTGAAATGATGACTAAGTTATCTAAATATAAAAATTATCAAATATTAACATCCTAGAAAAACTTCCTTTCTCCATGTTTTACAGAATAGCACAGTTAAAACAGAAACATTTTTAACTCAAAGTGGCTCCCATTTCAACCAGACAGACGACACCGTGGCACTGGGGTAAGGAGTACCACTGCTCATGAAGCCCTCTCTTCAGTGCAGTAATGTGAAAAGAAAACAGCATTCTAAAAACGTCAGCCAAACCTCAACAGAGTCAATCATCTTTACCCCAAGCCCTTTCTAGGAACACTTTCACTTCTTTCATAATTAAAAAAAGAACTACTTCCTACCTGTTTTCTTGCCTGCGGTAATCCTGCTGCCGTTCTCCTCTGATCATTGGCTTCACCATCCCGCGCTCCGCCGTGCTGGAGGCAGACAACACCCTGTCGCTGTCCAGCCTCGTGGTGCTCTAAGCCAGGGGAAGACACAGCATTTAACCAAGCAAACCAACCAGGCTTTCACTTACTCTTGCAGGTGAAGATGTGATGCAAGGCTGCCAAGCAGGGGAAGGCAGGAGAGGAATGCAGAGGAAGAGCATGGACAAGAAAAAGGCATGGCAATGCTGAGGATGCCATGTCCACAGCGGCATGCCCCAAAATACAGTCATCAAAAGAACAATAAAACACACAGCCACTTTGCTTTTCAAAGAGCTAGCCATGGACTTTAAAACACAGTCAGGGCAGAAGTGGTACATATACACAAGGGTTCCTCAACCAGTACAGTAAAAACAGTAACTACTCCCAAAAAGTCCTAATTCAGGAGAGAGCTAAGAGAATATGTACAATATGAAAAGTCAGGGTCTTTGTTTTACTTGTTAAGAAAGGATTTAAAAATCTACTCATCATAGCTCAACACCCAATGAAGAAGTGAGTACAGAAATTGGTTTATTTCTTGCCCTTCATCAACAGAGAAAAGGCACACTTATAGCGGCCCAATATGGTACATTTAAGCTCTTCCAAGCAGGGCACGTCCCTAACCAACCCAAGGCAGACAAAACAGGTAAGTAACCTGTATTAGTACAAAAATAATCAGAATGGGCGCCTGGGTGGCTCAGTTGGTTAAGCGACTGCCTTCGGCTCAGGTCATGATCCTGGAGTCCCGGGATCGAGTCCCGCATCGGGCTCCCTGCTCGGCAGGGAGTCTGCTTCTCCCTCTGACCCTCTTCCCTCTCGTGCTCTATCTCTCATTCTCTCTCTCTCAAATAAATAAATAAAATCTTTAAAAAAAGAAAATAATCAGAACACAATCAATAAAATTATACAAAGAAATTCACTGTAGCAAAAATTTTATGTCAAATTTCTCATTGTATTTGTTTATTGTAGAAATTGAGATTGATAATAGAAATCATTCTTGTCTTACCAACCAGAGAGTAACTCTGGACTGTATTTATCTTTACGGTTTTTCTTATTTTCCATAAATGAGGTTACACAACCTACTTTGTAATAAGTACTCTTTTTCATACGTTGTAAACATCTTACAATATTTTTATGTTACAGAACTGTAATGGTTGTGTAACATTTTGTTGTCTATTCACCAAAGTTCATTGAACTGTCCATGATGACTTTGTTTAAAATGTTCACCAGGACAGGGCGTCCTGATATTTCACACATAATGGCTACTTCCATAAAACACATTTATAGAAATAAAATGCTTGGTCAATGGATGGCAACAGACTACAAAAAACTGTTATAAATGAATAAGAAAGCAATGGATAAATTATGGTATGTTTATAAGCTAACATATTACAAAATAATTTTAGCCTGTTTTCAAATAAAATGATTACAAAAGCATAGCCAAAGGCCGTAGGACAGAAAGGTGTGCACGTGTATTTAATCACTTCAGAGTGCGTTCATGCGCACACGTGCAGCATAAAGAGCCCAGAAAAGGATCCATCAAAATGTTACCAATAGCCAACTATAAATTGAGGATGAATGATTTTCATTTCTGTACATTTTTTAATTTACCAAGTTTTGTTTTAACTATACGCTTTCAGAAGTTTTTATTTAATTTAGAGAGAGAGCACGAGAGAGAGAGAGAGAGAACGCGTGCGCGAGCATTCATGCGTGGAGGGGAGGGGCAGGGGGAGAGGGGGAGAGAATCCTCAAGATGACACCCTGCTGAGCGTGGAGCTGGACGCAGAGCTCAGTGCCATTACCCCGAGATCATGACATGAGCTGAAATTAGAGTCTGACACCAATCGACTGAGCCTCCCAGCACCCCTAAGAAACTCAACTTTTTATGAAGACAGTTACATTTGGTTCCAAGAGTATTTGCTCACGCAGTCGCTCAGCAACTCCTTACTGCGGCTCTTCAATGCCCTGAGCGCTTTCTGAGCACAAGCGGTGCAGCAATGAACATGCCAAGTGAGATCCCTGCTTGCACAGAGCTCACATTCCACAGTTGGCACAGGAGACAAGGATCAGATGGCAGTACAGGCTGGCACAGAGAATTTAAAGTAAGGTGTAATTATGCCGGGATGCTCAAGAAGTTTCTTCAAGGAGGTGATGCGTAAAAGTCTCATTAGGAAGGGGCTAGCTGCATGAAAACCAGTGGGAAGAACACTCTAGGAAGAACAAACATGCCTGAGACTTCAGATGGGAAAGAGGTGTGTGGTCAGTGTGGCCAGCACAGGCTAAGCCGAGAGGAAAGGTGGGCCAGGTCAGAAGGGGCTGTGAAGGCAGGGCAGTAAGACGATCGAATTCCTATTTTCAGAACACCAGCCCGGCCACTGGGAGAAGAGTAGCAAGCCAGGTCAGCAGAGGAAAGGTTGCTAACTCAGAAGCCATGCAGATTCCCCGCCATCTGACACCTGGAGACTCTGCCTGACCACTCATGGCGGCGACAAAGACAGGCACTTGTGGACTATTTCAGACAAAGAGCAAACGAAACTTGCCAACAAGTAAATGTCGAGGCTGAGGGAAGGGAAGGAACCCAGGATAACCAGTGATGGACTTCTGTGGGGACAACGCTATGGGTGAGGATATCATTTACTGAGACGGGGAAGGATCAGGGAAAGAAGGATGTTTGAGAAAGAAAATCAGTTCTGTTTTAGCTACGTTAAACTTGAAATATGTCTTAGACATCACCATGGCTGTATCAAGCAAGCCTCTGGAGTCTGCAGAGGTCAGGGCCAAAGATACAGTCAAGAATAATTAATGTTTAGATGTACTTTAACTCCCCGACTGCATAAGATCACCTCAGGAACATGTATACACAGGAGAGAAGATGCCCTAGGTCTGAAACCAATGTGAGAAGTCAAGTGGAGGAAGACGTGGAGGAGGTACCACCAACAGATGGGACCCAGGAGGACTGAGCGCCAAGGTGGGAGAAATCGGGAGGGCGACACCCTGAGGCTGAAATAAGAAAGTGCCTCAAGTAAATGGTGCTAACCTATCTTCAGGCCATCGGAGGGAAACAAGCACTGGACTGGGCGATCGGGACGTCAGCAGAGCACAGGACAGACAGAGTCCCTATGAAGACAAGAAGAGGGAGTAACAGGAAGTCCCTACGAAGACAAGAAG